ATTGGATATAGCATCTCTAACAAGACTCTTTGTTAATGCCTTATTTAAAGAGATGGTTTTCTCACTGGCTCAAAACGGTTCACTCTCAAGTCTCCTTTGTATAGTGCCGTTAGGCTTTTGACATTTTATTATTGGCCCAAGTAATTTAACAGATTCAATGCTCGACAACAGTCCAGAGTTTTTAATGTTCTAACAATTTTTGGCTAAATTTTATATTCACAAAGCAAGAGCTTCCTTTGTGCACTACTTTTTGTCACACAGATCATAATGTGTATTGAAACCCTTTGAAACCCTTAAAACACCGAATCCTAGACTTTACAACTTGTAAAGCGTTTCAAATTTGTGTAATTTTATGTTTAATTGTTTTTATTTATTCTAATATTTTTACAATTTTGTTATTATATAAATATTGCTTTATTTATCTTATTTCATACTCACCAGACTGCTGTATAATATAAAAAAGCTTTTTCTGTTTTAATTTATGACACTTTATAGTTTTGTTTTGGTGTCCCTTGCTCTAGAATTTCAGTGCTGCTGGGTTTAGGTCATACTACAGAATTAGGTAGGTGGGGCAAAACTTGATACTTCCATGTTTTCATTGGTCTAATGACAGACTTTGCTCCACCCCCCAAATTACTATGTATTACTACCCAAGAATTGTGGGAGGCTGCTTACTGTAAAATATTTGTCAAACTCAGCCCATTCACTCTCATAAGATTACAATCACAAGCCACATATTTTTGTACTCACTTCCCTCTTTGCATCCCACTTTTCTCTACTTGCCTCTTTCTCCCAGCTCCCTCCTGCTGTTTGTCCCTGCTTGCATGATTCCAAGAAAGAAAGAGAGTGAAAAAGAGGCAGAGTGAAAGGTTGCGAGGGTGTAGCATAATAAAAAAAATAGTTGAAGAGGGAGGGAAAGAGAGTAGGAGGGAGATGAGAGGGCAGAAAGACATGTTTTGAGCAGAGGCAACTGGCTGCTGAGACTAAACAGCAAAAGAGAGAGAGAGAGAGCAAAAGGGGGAGAAAGAGAGCGAGGTAAGGAGACAACGCTCCAGCTAGACACAAGATGGCTACAGTCTCTTCCGATTTAAATGCTGGTAAGTAACATTAAACTTTTACTTCAATTCATCTTACTAGTTTGTCGGACAGACATTCACTTTCAAATCCCACCTACACACACACACAACTGACTCACTTCCCTTCTGCATTGCATGCGCTTCCTGTGTCTCAGGGGCTTTCTAATGCAGACTGGAAAGTTTTGGCTGTATCTAGATCAGTTTGCCATCATACAAAGGCAGATGCCCACACAAAAGTCATTCATTCTGATCCTGGATCAGAATTAGAATGAGATCATAAGGATAATGGTTAGGGTTGATGCAGCATTGCTGGGACTGTTATCATGTGCTGAACTGTACCAAAGCTAACAAGGACAGGGCATAGATGACTGAACTCATGCAGAAAATAGAGGATCTGGTAGCAGAGAATGGACAGGAACCTTTCTTACCCATCAAATGTAAGTGTTATTTTCTGATCATAGGACTGCTTATGATTAAGGCTATGTAGTCCAGGACTACAATTTCAATTTATATACTATGGAATCATCACTGTAGTATATAAACCTGATCAGCAGGTTACAGGGATGTAGTTGTAAATGCTCCAGAGTTGCTCAGAATGTCGGTGTAGATCAGGGGTAGGCAACGTCGGTCCTGGAAGTGCCGATGTCCTGCAGAGTTTAGCTCCAACCCTGAAAAAAACCTCACCTGCCTGTAGCCTTAGTAATCCTGAAGACCTTAATTAGCATGTTCAGGTGTGTTTGATTAGGGTTAGAGCTAAACTCTGGCAAGGACATTGGCACTCCAGGACGTTGCCTACGTTGCCTACCCCTGGTGTAGATGGGGTCGGTGTTGTGGATGTCATCAGTATGGATTGAACTGCAAGTAGTTTCAATCACTCGCCATATCATTTTCTGTTTCATCTCTGTTTCTCGAAAGCAGAGGACTCTTCTCTACCTGCCCGGCGCCTCCTGTTGCTGGGGTTCCAGGGCTCCGGTAAGACCTCAACTCTGAATACCATCTTGAGCCAGGAGAAAAACCCTCCCAACAATTCCCAAACAGACCAACAACACTGGGTAGACATACTCACCTGGCGGCTACTAATCATTGACACCCCTGGATGGAAGCTGGAAACTGAAGGTACAACTGACGAGTCGGACTCAGAGAATCAGCAGTCCATCACTGATCAATGTTCTCCTGGTCCTCATGCCTTGCTGCTGGTGGTTCCCATTGGAGTTCCGTTCACTGAACACCACTGGCAAGGTCTTTGGGCCCGAGTTCGGGCACTGGGAGCAGGGATATGGAGGCACACAATGGTTTTGTTCACTTGTGCGGACCAGTTGCCACAAGACATGGGTGTGGAGAAATGTATTGTGGATGGCGGGGCAGCGCTGCAGAGGCTGGTGGAGAGGTGTGGCTGTAGGTACCATGCCTTGGATAACACCTGCTCGGACAAAAGTGCTCAGGTTGCAGAGCTTTTGCAGAAAGTGGAGGAGATGGTGCAGGAGAATCAAGGCTGGTTCTTTGAAATGGTGCGGCCAAGCCTTGGATTTGGGGATGAAGACACTGAAAATGAAAGAGAAGAGGATAGAGGTACAGAAGTGGAAAGGACAGCAGCAATGTTTAGATCCCCACCAAGAGGTGAGTTCCTGTCTATTTCATTCTCTTTTACCTTTGGTTTGGTGGTACCATTGCAGCATGTCTCCTTAGGTCATGTAAAGTGCATTTTGATCATGTGAAGTTCCTTTTCACAATTTCCCACTTTCTCCATTTTAACAGAGTTACGAGTGTTGTTAGTAGGCTGGCGTGGAGCAGGAAAGAGCTCTGCAGGAAATCTTCTACTGGGCTGTCGTGTGTTTGAATCAGGACGCCCCACTGAGGTGTCTGTCCGTCATCAAGCATTGGTTGCTGGTCGGCGCCTCACGGTTGTCGACACACCAGGCTGGGATTGGTTCTCCGTCCAGCGCACACCAAGCAACATACGAAAAGAAATCAAACTAGGGGCAGGGCTTCTACATCCTGGTCCACATGCACTCTTATTGGTCATCCCCGTAGTCTCCACCCTCACTCCCAAAAAGAGACAGGCCATTAAGAGCCACTTGGAAATGTTTGGCGAGGAGGCTTGTCAGCACACACTGGTGCTGTTTTCATGTGGAGATTGGCTGTATGGCACATCAATTGAGGATCACATCCAGCGGGATGGAGGCGAGCTGCTGAAACTGATGCAGCATTGCTGGAACTGTTACCATGTTCTGGACTGTACCAAAGCCAGCAAGGACAGGTCACAGGTGACTGAACTCTTGCGGAAAATAGAGGAGATGGTAGCAGAGAATGGAGAGAAACCTTTCTTACCAGTCAAATGTAAGTGTTTTAGATTCCATAATTTTATAATAATGGCTTTCACATCGGGTTACATATTAATTTGTTCATGTGAATATTATTCATGTATATATAAACCTAATCATTGCATCCTTGTTCTACAGTGAACCAAGAATTAGATGAGGAGGAAACGAGTGGAAGATGCATTCTGCAGTGAAGAATAAGGTGACATAACATGCTAATCTTAGAGGAATGTAAAAGTTATCCAATTGTTTATTACCCATAAGGCCATTCACACTGTTTTGCCAAAGTCATATTAACAGAATGTAAACTGAATTTGAACTGGACATTCCACTGCTTTTTAACTTCATGGTCAGTATGTTCTACTTATGTTAACATTCTTCAGCATACATAGAGGTACAAACTAGATTTCTGACTCCTTAAGAATTCGTCACTGGACATTCACCTTTGCTAGAAGCATGTAGCACATCCTGATATAATATTTTTTACTTGTTTCATTCTGATCCTGAGCTACTGATACCACAAATAACAATAATTCTCAATACTCAAATATTGATACTCTTGCCAAATGCATGCACTGGTTTCAATGATGATTATCTAGTGTTATGTAAAACGCATGGTGGCAACAAACAGACTAAATGGCCTAAAGGATTCTATCCATTTCCCCACTGTATGGCAGGACTCTCATGGCCGGTATTGTACAGTATTTATACAACCTGGTCGTTTTTCATGCACATTCAAACAATGTCAAATAATATTTAGTAAAACTGCATTTTACTAAGTTGTAATCGTAGTTATTTACATGTAGTTTGAATATACTCACTGTATTGTCATAAAGTCTACTACATGGGATTATGTGCACCTGAAATAGAGCTGGATTCTCAAGTATACAATTGTTCTAGACTGAACTGAATGTGCAATTGAGCACCTTCAGAACATTCAGGGTTTCTTTTTGATGATTGGTAACTAATATGGAGGACATGATACTTACGACTGTGATATCAACATTGTATTCTACCTAAACACATATTTAACAATGTGTGTTGAGCATTCAGGGCATGGCTGTTACTATTGCATAATAATATTGATCATGTCTGCAAATTTTTTGGCACATGGTAATATGCAATGAATTCCCAAGTGCTTGAGCAAACATTTTAGCCTCAAAAGTGGTTCAATTGAAGACACTCAAATGACTGAAGAATTTAGCTTTTGAATGCTTTTCACTTCATACTTTCATATTAATAAAGAACTTTAGTGAAATTGCCATACTGAGTGGTGCTTTTCATGTCAAATACAGCTATAAGTTTAAAATTTCTAGATTTGTGAAAACCTTTGAAATGAAAATAAATTCTTAACCAAAACCCCTCATTTAATTTCTGCCAACAATAGACAGTTGTCCTTGGTCATGAACACTGATTTATGCCATTAGTATAGTGGAAATTGCCTTGGACTAAATATATTTACTAACTTCATTCTACATCCCCAAAAAACCATATCACATGACCTACCTATAGAGATGGTGAATAGTTGTCTACAACATTTGATAAACTACTATAGCTAATTTCTGCTCCAGTTTCATCATGAAAGGACACATGAAACGCATACAAATGTCTTTTTAAATGTTTATTACACAAATAACTTTCAAGATAGTTGGTAAGCGGTGAAAACCCCATAGAAGTTCCATACATAATCTAATAAGTGCACACCATACCATTTCTATGAATAAAGACAATAGGAAAGTTTAAATTGTGAGTATTTACACGGCACAATTTCAATTAAGAAATGTCAAGACGGACAAAATCAACAATACACAATGCACTGCTATATATAATACTGTGCATACAATAAAGATACACAAGATTTTAAAAAATACACTTGTAAAAGTATATCAGGCTTTACCGATAGCTGTCATGCTAAAAGGAAACTGTTTCTACTAAGACACTGGGGATGAATCAAGAGGCTATGCTGAAACAGTCCATTTCTCTCAGCTTCAAGCCTCTATGTCCATTTCTTTCTATGACCTCATATTCCTACTCTCTCTTGCCCTCCTGACTTCATCAATTAGCTCTTTCAGATAATGAATCTCTTTAGTGAGTGATTCTGCTTTCTCCACCAGCTCTTGATTCCTCTCCTCTAGAGCTGCAGACTCTGACTGGAGGACGTCTTGCTCTGCACGCTTCTTCTGTCGGTAGCGGGTCGCCGCAGTCTTGTTCTGCTCCATTTTCTTCAGCTTCTTCTTCTCGACCACAACCTTTGAGCCACTGGCTGACTTCACTCTTCCTGTGAGGGCAGGTGACTCTGACTGCTGACTTTGGGTGGGCTTAGAATCAGGTGTAGGGTATGGCTTCACCCTGTAAGAACGAGACTGGGGAGAGGCTGGGGTTTGTGGGTCGGGAGAGGCTGGCCTTGGGGAATTATCCACAACCACCTTACCTGGATGGGTCGCCATCACATTAGCCTCCTCTTTGGGAGCAAGGACAAGAACTATGTGGTTCGGGGAGAGGGACAGGACAATTTTGGGCACCTGCATCTCAACGGGGGTTGGACTCTGAACTTCAGCTATGTCCACCTCGCAACCAAGCTCAAGAGTGTCAGTAGGGGACTCGGGTGGAAGGATGGAAGGTGATGGGACTGGGGAGGCCGGTTCAGACTTTATATCGAGCTCGGTCTGGGGCTCAGGGACTACAGAGGAGGAATCTGACACTTCACAGGGTGTTGAGGGAACAAATGGAGTAGAAACTGGAGTATTCAAAGTGAATGAAAGGCTGGAAAGTTGATCAATTTCAGGGACAGTCGCTGGTGGAGAGGGTGAAGGGTTACGGTCAGAAGCTACAGGCTGGGACTCCAGGTCTATCTGTGACTCCAGAGAAGCAATGAGTTCCTCAGGAGAACTGGGTGGATCCTCAGAATCATAGGAGCCAATCAAAGACTCCAGATCAAACTCACTCAGATCAATTCGCTCTGTCATCCAATCCATTTCACTGAATGAATGATCTGAAACAAAAAAACATTAAACAACTGAATGCTTAAACGAGAGCACTGAAGGTATATTCTGAATACATTGCAACACCTTACCATTACCACTGTCTGCGCCACCATTATCTAGGCACAGCTCATCTGAGGGGAACCACGACAGGGACAGCTGATTGTGCCCAGCCTTCTCCCCCCTCTGAGGGAAGGGAGGAGTGCAGGGTGGGGAGAGAGAGGGAAGTGGAGAGGAAGAGAAAGATGAAAGGGGCGATTCAGCGCCTCCGAGAGGAAGAACCTCCTCATCTTTATCTAGGAAGGACCCAAGAGGGTCAGCCATCGGTGATGATGGGTCCCAAAGAAGGACTTCCATATCGTCCGGGCCAAACCGTGAGCTCATCAAAGACATGGCTGTCTATTTCAAGTGGAATCAGAGAGTCTTCTACTGAGAATTCGAATAATTTCGTGCTGTTAGGTACAGCAAAGGTCAGAGTTGCCACAAGGGACCTGCAAAAAGAGATGAAAAGTAGTTAATCTTTTAAATAACAATAAAAGCAAATTTAAATGATAATTGTAAACAATCAAATATGAAAGCTTTTAAGCAAGGGGAAAAAATACTCAGTTATTACTGATGCACAATGACATCATCTGCCCACACCCTACACTCCTACCCCTATATGGACATCTACCACATGACGCTTTTTATCACTTGCAGTCAGCAGACTAGGTTCTATTTATAAACGCTCAACTCCAATTTACCAGAGGCAAAAGCTCACTGGTTTTCAAAAATATTAAAATGAACTGAAAATGTCATTTTTGTTCAAAGACACTGGGATGCCCTACTGTTGTAACGTTACTAAAGTCGAAAAAGACCGCCATTTCAGGGCTCCCCGCTCCCTTTTCAGGAACGTGCGCCATTTTATAGAGAAGACGCGACGACAAAGAAAAGTCAAATAAACTGCCTCAACTCGTGTTAATTTGAGTAAAACATTATCATGTTTATTAGAAATGCATCCTCTATAGACAACAGAGACGTTATGGTACATTTTAAAACAGACATGACTACAAATCCATCGACTGATGTGGTCTCTGCCGGGCAGACTCCATGGCGCGCTAAGCTCGAGAGACGATTGTCATGACATTATTCGCACGGAAAACATTTTCCTAAATCTATTAAAAATAACAAATCCCCTATATATCTGTAAGGCACACAAGAAATAGTACAAAACATTTATGGTCATAAGGATGATAACTTCAATGGTACAACTCCCGCCTCGCCGGCTGTCTAAACGACAAGACACTGTAAGCCAAAAACAATTAAAAGTATACTTACGCCATTTTGTAATAAATGTACTGAGGCAGTGCACTATGTTGATGCACTGAGGAGTTTGCGCGCTGTCTACAGGCACAGATCACACGGCCATTTCGGCGAAGAGCACAATCGCTCGGATAACAACAAAAATTCAGAGGGAAAAAGAACAGATCTGCTGGTGATGACGTCGAGGTCACGTTTATATAGGGCCGCAGTGCCGCTCAGCTATATCCGTCCGCCAGAGCGCTTTGTTTTGTGTTACTGGGCGCAGACAGCATATAGACCCATTGTTTTAGTCAATTTGTATCATGATTAGTATCAAAAATAACTATTAAAACTTCTCATATCTATTCAAATATATTTTGTGATTATTTAGGAGCCTTTTTGATTATGTCAAATGAGGAAAAAGAATGATATTGGCATTGGACAGAGTATTGTAAAGATATAATCAGAGCCCGACTGATATCAAATGGATATCAACATTATATGTCTATTAGTCGATAGATTGACAAACAAATATGTCGTGATTCGTGAGCACAACGTCTATCAACACAAACATGAAAGCAAGAGTCATTTCAGGGAAGGTTGTCCACATTCCCCGTACGTAGTGTTGGCTCTATCGCCCTCTGCTGGACGAAAATTAAACTAGTTTAGGCTCAGTTGTGTTTACGGGAATTATTGTTTTGGAAAAAAAAGACAATGGAAAGAAAAGACCATTACTCTTGGTGGAAAAAACGTAATAAAAGGACGAAAGAGGCTGTATTAAGCTTAGGTAGAAACAAAAGAGAATTGGAACAGCCAGTCAGTACAAGCAGGAATATGTGTAGTTGTTTACATATAGGTTTAGTGATCCTGTTTCAATGATGCATTTGAAGAACACAGAAAGATAGGCTACACGATAAAAGACAGCTCCCATCTTGAATGCATTAATTTATTTTCTAGAGATGTATATTTAAAAACAACATGTGATTTTGTACAAAATTCAAGTTCAACTCCCAGCTAAGCCAACAATTTCATTAGGCAGTGTACAAATATTTGACCATTTCTTTCAACATAAAAAAACACAATAATCAAAATGGAAAAGCCCCACCATGTTCAGATTAAATTATATATAAGCAACACAGGCACATCTATTTAAAACAGATATTTTGGTCTAGTTGGTGGTCAAAAGCTATAACGTCACATTCAGACACTTCTACCTTTTTTTTTTTTTAATAATGATAATAACAATATATTATATAATTACAATATATTATAAATTTTGAATAAACATCTCTCTATGATCTTTTAATATAGTAGCATATTATTGCTGGTAATATCCCTATTGAATCGAAAGTGCTGTAGCTGCAATTGTAGTTTTTGCTATATAAAATAGAGGAAACTAGAATAATCAAAACATTACTGATTTCTTGTGCTGATATATGATTGATTTGATTCTCTCTCAGTGGATTTCTCTTGGCTAAACATTTGCTAACTGTCAGCCTTTCATCAGACGACCACAATGCAGTCCTGCCGTGCGTATCTGTGAAGAAACCTGATCTTTAGGTTTGTGCCTGTCTTTGTTCTCAAACATTAGTATAGATCTGTCACTAATTCAGCGGTCCTTTTCTAGCTTCAGGCTCAACCTCGGGTGATTGTAAACTGCAGAGGACATCAATGGAAGAGTGCTGCATAGGCCAAGGCCCTCTTGAGCTGCTTCACGCACAGTGACTCTATGTTTACACAGTGACTCTATTTTCCACTTTTATTATTCTCATTAGTCGTTGTTTCTGCCTCAGGGAACAGGTCAGGGTTTTCTGCTAGCGTAGAGCGGATTCTCTTCTTCTCTTTAAACCGGCCCGAATGTGAGACTTTCACATGGCGTCCCTTTGTCGCCGTTTTATCCACGATGCGTTCCAAGCGGGCGTTAAACTGGCTGTCCGCAGCTGCGTCGGGTGTCCCGGGCGTCTCCCCGGCGTTGCTGCTGTGGTCTCCAGGGATTTCGTACAACACTTTCGGCTCCGATTTCTTCTTACGCAGGAAAGTCAGTTTCCACCAGGCTGGTGCAGGTTCTGCGGTCGCCATTTAGATGAAAACAGACTTGGATAGCTCTGCAAGGGGGACAGAATGAGAGAGTGTTATATTTTTGACTAAACACCAAACAGTAGGCCTAAATAAGAAAAGGAACTATAAACATACTGTTTTTTGTTACATTTGAACACGAGTAATAAGAATAGTCAGAATGTGTAAGCTGAGCCCTGAGGGTGTGAGCTAATGCTAATGTAAGATCTGTGTCTTACATTATAAGGGGCAGCCGCTAATGAATTTTTTAGTGTAATTCAGTAAGCACCATATGGTAGAGGTATGCAAAGTTTTAAGCTGTAGAGCTTCGGTTACAAGCCTCAAATTTCACACACGCTGCACTGCAGCTAGGCTATATGCTAGGAGGATGGAAATGCTAAGTGTAGACCATGCTAATGTTAAACAATAAGAGTGCTTACTAGGCTATAGCTTATTTTATTTTCATGTATTGGTTTATGAGTTAATAATATTGATGATTTACACCATGGTTCAAAAGTTTGGGGTAGTAAATGTATTTATGCTCACTCAAAAATACAGTAAAAACATCAATATTGTGAAACATTAAAAATTAAAATAACTGTTTTCGGTTTTATTTTAAAATGTAATGTATTTCTTTTGACACAAAGCTGAATTTCCAGCATCATTACTCCAGTCTTCAGTGCCACATGATCCTTCAGAAATCATTCTAATATGCTGATTTGCTGCTGAAGTAACATTTATTATTATTATTATTATTATTATTATTATTATTATTATTATTATTATTATTATTATTATTATTATTATTATTATTATTATTATTATTATTATTATTATTATTATTATTATTATTATTATTATTATTATTATTATGTTGAAAACTGTTGTGCTGATTAACATTTTGTGGAAACCCTGATACTTTTTTCCAGGATACTTTGATGAATATAAAGTTTAAAATAACAGAATTTATTTAAAATATAAATTCTTTGTAACAATGTAAAAGTCTTTATTGTCACTTTTGATGTGTCCTTGATGAATAAATACATTAATTTATTTATTTTTTAAAAGAGAAAAATCTTACTGACTCCAAACTTTTAAACGATAATATACATTTGTACTTCAATATATATAAAACTGTATATGTCACTATTTATAATTTTTTTAATGGACCTAATAATGTGGCAAAATATCATATTGAGCTGAAAGAACATTCATATTAGCCAAAATATTTCATAAACATGTATGAGCCTAATTCTGCAGAAATTTGTAAAGCTTTTTTTATCCACAGTCTCCATGCAGGCCACAAACTGAATTCATTATTATATCTGACCTCTTGGACTTCACTTCTCAGGTCTCAATGATGCAGCTGGTTTCATTTTAGCCATAATGTTCAGAGTGTTGTTGCTTTGCTCACACTACAAATGGATTTTACATGATTCATTCATTCATTGCCAGGGGAACTTTTAGGCAAAGCAGATGGTCTTACTTCATGCTGTTATGCATGTGGTTTTCATATAAAGATAAAAATAATGATAAGGGTTAAGGAAATCATTGTTCAGAAGGAAAAGCCAGTGCTTTCCGGAAGCATGTCAATGGCCATCAGGAACGTTCTGTGTGCTGATTATTCGAGGATTTGATAAGATTGACAGATCTCGATAATGTATGAAAACAATTACTTTGGAAAATCAAACTTCTGATTTGTCTTGTCACGCGAATTACGGACAGCGTTAATTACTTGCAAAAGCATTTCAATTTATTACAGGCATCACAATAATAACGACGCAAAGAACATTTAGTTTCAACAGAAGCTCCCACGAGAAATCGAAATCTCTGTAGACATCTTGATTAATTAATTATTCCTGTCGGTTGGTTGGAAAAAACATCAGGTGTTAACTGGAGGTCCTCAGGGCTTCGCCCCGGGAACAGTCACACTCTGAGAGAGTTGTGGTACATAATGAGTAAAAGTAGAGCAAAAGACAGGAATTGTGGTGATCAGAAGAACTGCAGGAAACATTTTCTTGTGTTTGACCCTTCTTGCAGGCCCAAAACATGTATTGGTCTGTATCTGTTGTTTTACACTCACACCCTTTAGAAATAAGCACCTGTTTCTAAAGAGTGTAAGACTGGAATAACAATAAAAAATAAAGGCATACCCCACCAATACACAAAAAGGAGGAAATTGGTCCCAAGTTTCCCAAGAAGAAAATTTTGCTGCTCAGAAGTTGCTCTTTGAAAGTTTGGGAGACCATTTGTTGATCTAAATTATCAAAGTGGTCTCAGATGTTTCTCCAAAAATTCATTGAGAAATAACAAATATACACATAAATGACAGTTGCTGATCTATCCCAGCGGGCACCTTGATATCAATTTGACGTCAAATATTAGTCAAGGCTTGATCAAGATGCTGTAACATAATTTTAAATTTAGTCTGGACAGCAATCCAGTGATAATTGAGTGAAAATAGGAAGTTAATCCCACACTGAAATTGGTTTAATGTATATGTAGGCCGATATGTTTGACGTTCAATTTACATCAAATCAATGTCATGTCAAGTTTTTGACATCAGGTTGATTTGCATATTTGACCTGTTTTTTGATGTCAAACTGACGTCTTTTCAACATCAATTGCCCACTGGGATAGTAAGAGTATACAGCTACTGTATACATTGAATGTGGATAGTATAGCGCAAACAATTTGCTTTTGAGAGAATTGGATGAGAAATGTTTGAATTCATATTGAATTCTGTGATTTTTGATTGCAGATTTTAGACTTAGCAAATCTAAGCAGAGTTTGAGGCATTGCTAAAATCTCTTCCGAAAGAAGAGAAACACGTGAGATTATTTGTCCAGTAGAAACAAAACTGAAAGTTTTTTTATTAATGGGGAGAAGGGAACTTTTGTGTGTGAATACAAATACTCAAGCACATGTTAAACAAATAACGCAGGCAGTAGAGGCACAAAGAGACTTTGCATTTAATTTTATAAAGATGCTTGTTTCTTGTCCACTTGAATTACACCACTAATGAATATACCACTAATTTTGGACTGAGAGAATAATTTTTAAAGCAATAATCTCTTATTTATAAGGTTGGGATCTCTTCGTTTTAATTCAATGAGCTCACAACTGAAAGAAATGTTTTGCATTTCAAAGCGTGCACTTGATTGCAATAATACACACACACACACACACATCTCAGGCTCCTCATTGTGCACGATTAGTCAGTGATATAGGTTCACTGTGTGCTATGAATGTGTAATCAAATGTGTCTCTGTCCAAAGGTCATTAAAATTCACAGCTATCAGTACACTTTTTCTCTATAAATTACTATAAGTTCCCATTTGATCAATTCATTTCTTTCTCTAGAACTCAATATTAATTCCCCTTTGATCTGCATTTTTCACAGTAATTTTATCTGTCAACTCATTAATATGAAACTAACTGCAACTGGATGACGTTCCATGGAGTTAAAAGAGTTTTCCCGTCCAGTGAATTCCAGTAAAAAGCCCCTCTCACCTGTGCAGGTGAATGAACGTCTGTTGAGATAGTTGTTATCTGCGTTAGAGGGGTCACTATCCTTTGGTTCAGTTCTCTGTCCAGTTGAGTCCAGCAGGTGAGGTCATCGCCCTATAGGACCCTCTTTTTTTCTTCAGATTTCAGTGAGTTTCTGTCTATCTCTTCTCTTCTGTCTCTCCTCCAGCTTGGCTGTCCTTCTCGTTCTCTCTGGCAGCCAGGTGTAGATTCACAGGTGCGTGACTCCTCCCTCCTGCAGCCACACAGACACCCACATCAGGCCCCTCCTCCCTCTGCTGCCTGAATAAACATCAGCATCACAGAACAATAGCTAATATATAGTTGGATTGGGTGTAGACGAGTAATGACTGGATCAGCTTTTGATATCGAGTTAATGGTTAAGAGGCTATAAAACGGATGTTGGCAATGTAATCAGCAGGGATTCACTTTTTTCTTTCTTTTCAAGACTGCCATGTATGTTTCATTCAATACTTTTTTAATATTTTCCACTTTTTAGAATAACAGTAAGTATGTATATATATATATATATATATATATATATATACAGACAATAATAAATGAAAGAAAGAAAATGAATGAATGAATGAATGAATGAAAATTTGGTTTTGTAAAGAATGAATAAACCAAATATTGGTTTTGTAAAGAAATTCATACACAGGCTAATATAGGCTATGCTACTAATATTTGTCAACAAAACTAATTTTAAACATTTAAACATTAAGATCAAAAGGTCTTTACATTTATGAGAAACTGTTGTGCCCAAACTTTTGACTGGTGCAGTATGTTAAATCACTTTACATATAACATTACATAAAAGACCATAATAAAAACAATTAGCCCAAATAATCATACCCAAAATTACAAACTTTTTCAAATGCCAATGAAACGTCTTAAGTCTGCTTTTAAAGGCGTCAAGAGATTCAGTGGATTTAATCATCAATGGCAAACCGTTCCACAATCTTGGAGGTGCAACAAAAAAGTGGGATCATTTTAGACGAGATCAATATATAAACATATTTATTATATACATATTTTTAGAGCACACATTTCGGAAAGCATCATATTCCATTTCTAAGTAGAATTGAATATAAGAACTGAATATAAGGTCCACGTGTCATATGTGTACAAATAAGTGCTAAACATCTTGTTCAATTATTTCTGTTGTAAACTCTTGTTTTGATATTCATTTGGTTATGTTGTCCCCATGTTCTTGTTTCCTGTGTTTAGTTCCTGATCCCTTGGTTTCTAGTATGTTCTCTGTCACTTTGGTCACTGATTGTGTTCTTCAACTTTTTCTAGTTTAGTTCTTTATCCTTTGTATATATAGCTCTTGATGTTTGGGGTTTATTGTCAGTTATTGCCTTTGTTGTACCAAAGCTGTTTTGTTGCTGGGTTTTCCCCTATTATCATCATCATAATAGCCTTTTTACATTATTTATTTAAATAAATACTGCTGAACTTAGATCCACACCTCAACAACCTTGCCTGAAATGTTACAAGATGCACATACAAATAAAATCCGAATGTCATTCTACTATCAGACAGGGAATGTTCTAGCAAAATAATGCAGAGCAAACCCCCTTGAAATTAAATTTTTCAAAAAAAAATATCTGTAATTTTTCTCCATATTTTTTTTTACAATTCGACAAACACTTAACTGGTGTGTGTATACACACACACACACACACACACACACACTAATATAATATATACAGTATATTTATTATATTTTATCTAGATTATGTCCGTTTTTCTCCTATTCTCTAGACAATTATGAAATTATATTTTAATTATTTATAGATATACCTTTGTACATCTGTATTTACCTCCAAGCTATACATATTAAAATCTCAAGAAAGAAAGAAAGAAAGAAAGAAAGAAAGAAAGAAAGAAAGAAAGAAAGAAAGAAAGAAAGAAAGAAAGAAAGAAAGAAAGAAAGAAAGAAAGAAAGAAAGAAAGAAAGAAAGAAAGAATAACAATTCCACATCCTACCAGTAGAGGGCAGACTCTCAGTCCTGTTTATTTGAGAAGTAATATTCACCAACCCTGGCTCTGGCAGCAGTTTGAACAGGAACATGATGCCAGGATGCCCACTGGTGCGATTAGGCTGGCTGAGGGATAATAATGGCTGACTGCTGACCTAGCTGGGTGTGTTAAGGAGGACTTGCCCTCTGTCTAGGGGCTGCTTGGTTCAAGTGGTGCCCTGGCAGCGTATGCGGCCTTCATACACACGGGGATTAAATAAGAACAAGCCACATTTCATGGCCCACTCGAAAAGCATGTGGCTGTTCAGCACCAGCTGGGCTTTGGAGCTGGTAGTTCGCTCATGGCAGCCAAGATCTGATGCTTCACAGTCTGCAGAACACACAGTCCATTAATCATTATCTTATAGCTTCTGATGGGAAACTTCATTTGGCCCGACAAGAGTCATTTTAAAAGGAACAGTTTGGGCATGTAAAGCATTTGGCCTCTTTCTGATATCTGACTTTTGGTTTGAACATTCAGCAGTGGGAATTTGAATTTAAATGGCTACTGGATGTTGGAATGAAATGACAGGAAGATGAATTTACTGAATTGCAATTGAAAGAAATCCAAGATAATCACTCACAAAAAAAAAAAAAAAAAAAATCAGACAAAAAAAAAAAAAAAAACAAAAAAAAAGAAAATACAAAAAACTAAGGATGGTCCAGTAATGTAATTGTACATAAATGTTGCAACTGCACAGCAGCCAAAAAACCTTTCTACGGATGGATAGTGTCAAGCATAGGAGGACAACCTTCTAAAGGTTTTAAATTTCTTTTAAATTTTTTTTCTTATTTTTAAAAAAAAAAAAAAAAAAAAAATCAGACAA